ACGCTGTAGTCAAAAGTATATTAACATACGGATGTGAAGTTTGGCAGCTGAAGAAACGGACACAGGATATGCTAAGAGCAACGGAGATGGATTTCTGGAGAAGGTCAGCAGGAATTTCTAGGAGAGATCGGGTCCGTAATGATAGAGTGCGTCAGATAATGGAAGTCGAAAATGACATCGTGTTCGACGTCATGACCAAACAACTTGTTTGGTATGGTCATGTCAATAGGATGACGGAAGAGAGGCTGCCAAAAAAGATGCTTGATTGGGTTCCTCCTGGGAGGAGACGTAGGGGACGCCCAGTGAGAGGTTGGCGACAGGGGGTGTTAAATGAGATAAGAGATTGTCAACTCCCTGATGACCTGTGGGAAGACCGAGCTTTGTGGCGATTAGGCGTCGCACAGCGCCAAAGAGCGCTATAAAAGCGACTCATATATATATATATATATATATATATATATAAAAAAAAATAAAAGGCGGGTTGCTTACTCCAGCCCCTGAAAAATATGAAATATTTCACCGCCTCGTGAAATTTCATGAATTATTTCACTGCAACTTCAAATCTTCCATTTCTTTCATACATTTCATGTCACCCTGGAAGATATAACGACGGCGTAAGTACGCAATCACATATCGACAGTGTAAGTCGGCAAACACATAACTCGTTTGCGGTGTCTGAAAATCTTGGCCTCTCTGTTATTTTTTTGAAGGACAACAAATTGACATCATTCCTTGGCGTTTTTACGGAATTTTATTCGCACAGAGAAGAATAATCACGGAAGTATTGAAGAATTGCCGTTGAGTAGTTTTCTGCTTAAAAAATGAAGTATGACAGGAAGTCTGCGACGTCGCAAACCGAGTTATGTGATTGCTGCCTTACACCGTCGATATCTCGTATGCGGTGTCTGAAAATCTCCACCTCGAGTTCTTATTTTAAAAGAGAACAGATTGACATCATACCTTAAAGTGTTTGCAGGATTTTCTTCGCACAGAGAAGAAAAATCACGGCAGTTTGAGAGAATTGCCGTTGAGTAGTTTCCCGTTTAAAAAATAAAGTATAATAAGAAATCTGCAACGTCGCACTCGAGTCATGTGATTGCCAACATACACCGTCGATATGTAATATCTACATTCAAAAAAAAAGTTACGAATAGCTCCCCAAAAATTGTATGGGTACCTAATCTAATGGATCGGGGTTAAAACTTTTTGTAAAATTACACACGTTTCTGAGAAAATCTGTATTTTATTAGAATAAATTTGGCAACATCAACTTATCCATGAGCGGGGTTATGCGCAGCATGACTGCCTACAGTGTACTGAAAGAGATAAAGAGCCTAGAATGCTCTATTGATTGAAGTTGTAGAAATAGTATGAACAAATTCAGGATCGAGGCGCCCTCAAGCGCCTTCAATTTGAAAGATACTTCCCGCCCCACCGTGGAGTTAGTTTAGTTGCGTGACCTAATTTAACCCAACTAGGACTCTGCTGCGACCGGTTCCCGAGCTTCGCCACCGATCAGAATACTAAAACTCGGGCACATTCAATTACAGCAAAAACAAAATTTGTTCTAACGTTCTGGTAACACTTTTTATGTGCCTTTTTACACATGGCAACTTTATCATATTCTTTTGCTTGAGTTTGTCCATGAATTTTTGTTACTTTGCAGGTTTATTAGGTAAATGCTATGTCGGCTCCTATTGCATCGATTTTGGTTTAACTTGGTAGCAGGGGGTATTTTTTGACGAGAAACTCGAATTTTTAGTCACTTTTTCAAAATTCACAAATCCAAGATGACGGATATGGCCTAAAATGTTATCTCCGCTCCTATTGCATCGATTTTCGTAAAACTCGGTATCAGAGGGTATTTTTCGACGAGAAACTCGAATTTTCAGTCCAATTTTCCAAATTCGCAAATCCAAGATTGTGGATGAGGCCAAAATCGCTGTTTTAGCTTCTGAAATTGATAAATTCATTTTTGTTAAACTTTGGTCTCGCTATCTCAAGTAGCATATGAGTTGTGCTTTAACTCTCTCATAGGGTCATATTAACGTTTACTTTATTTGCGGCTGAGTATAAATCAACCCAACGCAAGCTGTGATGACAGAAGTTGCTTTGAACTACGAAAAATATCGTTAAGTTTGAATCGATTTTTTAAAATTTTTATGTCTATATCTTGCGTCTTCCTGAAAGCAATGTTGAAGAAAGGAGAAACTTTAAATTAATGTCAATACATTTTACTTGACATCTATTCTTTGGGATATTATTTTATTTTATGCGGCGAATGTTTATATTTTTATCTTTGCAGCTCATTTTTACATGGAAATTCTTTTGTTTTCCTTTTGGCACCATATACTTCATAGCTTCCCTCTGTTAATAAGTTCAAGTTGTCACTCATCGATTAAACTTCCTTTTCCTCCCATAAATCGTCGGTTAAATTAGGATTATTCATGTTCATGCCGCGTTTATCCAACACCTCGTTTTGGACTTTCTTGCTTGTTTAGGAGTGGGAAAAAATTGTGTCTCTACACCAAGTCTCCCTTATTCCCTTTGACAATACACAATCCTGAATGATTAGTAGCGTGTAATTATGGCAAAAGGTGATATGAATGAATTAAACCAGAGTGAACTTTACCTGAAAAGTTTGCACACAATATAATTATTTTGTATTTCATTTGTTTGATTTTTATTCCACTTCGAATTAATACGTTCAATATCCGGACACTAATCCCTCAAATCCGTACTGACCTCACATCATAAGTGTGCTTTGAATGATCGCAGGTTTCCCACTTCGAAAGTAAAAACTGTGTCGTTTCCTCTGCTCCGGCTTTCGGGGCTCTTCATCGAAGCCAACATCTTTGAGGTGCAACCTGGTTGAGAAATCTCATTTTGCGGCTCTGTCAGCGATGAGTCCTCAAATAATTTATTACCCGACCAAGCCGAAGACAAAGTGCCCTTGTTGCCAGATCGCCTCGGCCACTTTGTCTCAGATGCACTCGGATGCTTTGGGATCCGATCGGAGTTGAAGGATTTCAGAGGCCCCGAACTTTATCTCGGTTCGAAAAATTTGCTTGATTTAGACCCGAGGGTTGTTGCAATGGATCTCGTAAGAAATTAAGCCGTGTGAATAGATTTTTAAGAGTTAATCTGAACAAAAATCAAGATGGTCACATTAAAAAAGGTTGAAATCCACTCCATAGTGCGCAATTTGCGTAGTTGAAACGCGCTTTTCAAAAGTCCCCGCGTCCAAGAGCAGTTTCCGGTCACCGTATCTAGACACTTGCTTTTGACGAAAACTGACGATTCCGAACTCCAAAACAACTTGCAAATCGATTAAATACACTTGAAAAACTCAATGTCTGAACTACTATGGAAGATAATGTTTCGTTTGTAAGTAAAATTAATGAACAACAACAACAACAACAACAACACATACTACAACAACGAATCAGCAACTTCTAGCATTTACCGTAAACCACCGAGGCCACCTTCAGTTGCCATTTGCTCGTTTTCGGTGCCTCGAAAACTGCTCTCTGATGCCCGGAACTAGAAAAAGTATGTTGCAATCCACGCAAATTTCCCACGAGTAAGTAAATTTCCGTATTTTTAATTTTGCCCCTCAGAGTCTGTTCAAACGGTCGTACCTCCTCCATGAAACAGACCCACTTGAAGAGATTAAGCAACTGAAGTATACCTACATTGGGGGTTTTGAAAAAAAATAACAAATTTGTACATTAGGTTGGGTTTCCTAACGTGGGCGTATGATGGAATCAAGAAAAACAATAAAAGTTAAGACAGCAGGGTGGCGGAGGAACGTGAGAAGAAGAGAAAGGAGAGAGAGACAATAAAGAGAAGGAGAATAAAGGAAAATGCTCTACATATTCTGCCTTTCTTCTTTTTCCCCCACCTCTCCCTTTCCTGTTACTTCTTCTTGAAAAGGTGTTTATCCTAGGAAGTATTATTCTGCGGAATAAGAAACAGGTCTGCGTCTAAATGGCACATTAATTGATTTTTTTTTTTTTTGCATGGATATCATTCAAATAATGCATACATATACGATTTAAAGATATATTAATCGTTTAAAGGTATATTCCATTTATCATCGAAGTCATTTAAAAAGTTAACATTCTCATTGGGAGGATGTTTACTAGTCATGAAACAAGGTTTTTGGTTGAAAATGGCACCATCGACTTTCGCTTCAAGCTTTAAGGCCCTGAAATTTATTAATTAAAAGAGTCGTTGAGTGCTGACACCTTCCTTGAGCTATTCTTCATCGCTGCATCCTTGTCACCCTCTTTTTGAGCTATTTTCCGCTTCTGGGGACTCTGTACGCTTTTCAAGTGTCAGATCAGCTTGAACGTGATCTCTACTCAAGGGAAAGTGTTTTAATCAGTTCCTTTGTAGATAATATCAACAACGTAAAACGAAACTGACACGAAAATGCATATTTGATGTTCCCGTTTAAGGAATGATCTTAGAAGTGCCTCTTAATGATCTCTTTTCTGAAGTTAGTAAATAAATTTTCACTGACCAAATTATTAACTCTTCGCACAGTAATAAAGAAGTTTCTTCACTTTCACAAATCATCGGCTACATGACTGTCAGGCGTATGTTAATGTTCGCAAATAATTTTAGGTGAAGGATTCCGTGGAAAATAATACCGAGAATTGACTTTTTTTTGTGAACAGGTCGAAGGTCGGAACACTATATGGGACATCATAGCTTGTAGAAAGTTTGGGGGCTGAAAATTGAAATCAGGCCTCTAGTCGTTTACGTACCATTTCTTAAAAATCGCTTTAGTGTAACTAATTTTTTCTTCATAGAGATGACATAACGATATTTGTAAAAACTCATCGCTGACTAACGAAGATGATAAAAATAATTTTCGATGAATAAGTTAGTAGTGTCTCGTTTTAGACTCGAGTTCTGGTGGAAATTTAATGTGCCGTGTGCCAAATGGATGAATTTTTCATTACAACGTGAGTTTTATTCCTATGTTTCAGACCAGATACATCCCATTTCAATCCAATACAAACGTCTCACCGTGAGCAGGAATTCACCTATCTTTGTGTAAGTTTATCTTAAGAACTATTTTTTTTCAGAAATTTTACTTAATGTGACAGAGACAGTCATGACTCTTCAAGTACGTCATTCATTATTTCAATAGGGGAAGGTAATTGAACTCCGCTGTTGAAAGTGGTGGTCATCCATGAGGGTTTTTGCAACACATTTCACGATCATCGATGAGTGATGCACCGATGATCCCCACTTTCAGCAAAACACTTCCAACGTGTGCAAAGGGCAATAGACAAACTAACGGTATCCCTACAAAGATCCGATAGATGGATCGTATTTTGCAATAAGGAACCACTATTCCTGACCCATTATAGAAAGAACATACATGCCATTGGTTTCCCTATGCAGATATGTGCTTTTATGGGAGAGCCAGAGATAGTGGTTCCTTATTGCAAAATTTAATCCAGTTTTCCATCATTTTCCAACAACCACCCGTTCGAACCAAGAGGATCGCTCCATGCTCCCTGAGTATACTTTGTCTACCGATTTTTCCATCGAAATCAATAATCAGCCCGCAGACGGGTTACACAATTACAAGTCATTACACTCGGTCTCGCGGCACTGCCGCGCATTTGACGTCCTCGTCGCGCGATGTCTGTGAAACCGTGCCTTAACGTCCCGAACCCCTAGCATCCCGGTGCCGCGCCTTAGACATTCCCTGCGCGAGGACAAAGACGCCCACTTCAAACAGGAAACTTGTCGCGCAATGAATATAAGAAGCAAAGAAGTACTAATTGTAAAGAAACCGACGGAGGAAGCTCCGGGAAGTGCAGCGAGGGGGCGGCGGTGGGGGACGGGGCTGAAAAGCCAGTGATTCGGCGGCCAGTCCAGGAAGGGGGAAGGGGGGCTTTGTTAGTTATACTAGCGCAGCTTCCCGGCCACGGCCTGAGGAGTGAGGACCTGAAGTTGGGCCACGAAAGCTTTGACAAGTTGCATTAAAACCACTACTTTCCTCCCAGGGAAGCCAACGGTCTGTCAGCCGAGGGATGTTGCGGGCTTGTGAGGAGACAATCCGGGGGAGGGGGATGTTTGGCCTCGTTTCAACGCGTTAAGGGGGGTGCACAGCTTTTAGCCCCGCGTATCGCCATCGCTTTGATTTATCGTGGATTTTATCCGAGGACTCGACAGATTTGATCACACTTACGTCAAGAACAAGCGCTAACATAGACTGGATTGCATTGCGCAAAAAGGAACTGAGAGCATTCCAATGCCGCTAAGATGGTACAAATATGTTTACCTAGCAAATATAAACTGATCAGCTAAACAAGTTTTATCTTCACTAAATAAATTATGAACTCAAGACGAAAATCACCTTTGTAAAAATATTTTGCATGTTTTTAGTAATTTTATTGTAAAGAATGTAAGTTGCACAATCCTAGCAACATTGGAATACTCTTGGTTCCTTTTTGCGAAATGCAATCCAACTAAAACTGACGTCGCATCCGTCTGTTTCAGGCAAAATATCGGTAGCTCATTGCACCACAATATCTGTCGATGTGTCGAAATCCTTGCTCACACTAAAGTTCATGTTAGGGAAGTTACGCACTTTTAGAACGCGTAAGAAAGATCATGCTCCCTACAGTTTAGCATCGAAAGTTATTACAAGAATCGATGGCGGATCTTCTGTCGCATGCCACAATAATTTTGCGGCGGAAATTTTGCAACATTGACGCGTAATTAACCGGGTTGCCACAGTCAGGGAAATCCAGGAAATGTCAGGGAAAATTTGTTAAATCCCCATCATTTGCTTTCTAGAATGGGTTTGAGTTTTCGAAAAAAAAAAATTGTCTGAACACCATTTTCAAGTATGCCTTTTTAACCAGCCGTCACATCTTCAATTGTCAGGGAATTCCGCCAAAATGTGTCAGGAAAATCAGGGGAATGTTAGGGAATTTTATTTGATAAACTCTGTGGCAACCCTAAGTTATGGTTTCTCGTCTGCTTTTCTGCTTTTTGCTCTGCTGGCCAATCTACATATTCACATGAAGCAAATTCTCTTTCATAACCCAAATCAGATTATTTTGTAAAATTTTACCTCATGTAAGTTGTGAATTTACCCGGCAACAGTGTCACTCGACCAGTGAGCTACTGACTCGATAGTCTTATATACAAAAGGAACGCCGCTGAAAAAAAAAAGAGGAAAAAAAAAGTAAAAAAGAGAGAGACAGAAACAGGAAGCGGAAAACCCCCTGCGACGGGCTCCCGGCTGGGCCGTCTTCGTAAATAATTCGCAGACACGCTTTGAGCGCCCTCTCCAGGCGCAATCAAGGAACCCGCGCGCCGCGGAGGGACGCGACCGCGTTTGACTGAGGCACTCGCCCGCGCCCGGCAAAACCGCCTAACTCCCAGCGGAGACATCGAGTACATCCGCGGTTTTTCATTCCAGGAGGCCGGTCTTTTCCGATCACTGCCCCTGAGGGCACAATTAGACGTGCGGAAAAATAATGAAAGGATTTCTAAATGCCGACCGACGTGTTCGTTGCGCGGCTCTCCACTCGCGATGTTGCCGTTTTGCCGGAAGAATTAAAAGTTTTCGTCGGTATCGAGTTGTGAGGAAAAGGTGAGTTCGGCAGCGGTGTTCACTTTGTCGAGCTTTGTGCGATTTGAGTCGAATTTACCCTTGAGAGGGCCACTCTTCTGCCGGGAATTTATAGCTGGTCGATGACTGCACCGGGACGATGCCTGAATCCCTGCGTTGACTTCGGGTCGCTGCACTGATACTGCACAACAGTATCGTCGTTTTGTAGGATAAAAAACGTAACTGCATTTTATCGTTGAAAAATTTACACTTTTCTATATCTTCATTTTTAACTTTTAGAAACTGTCGAAATTCTCCGACTGAGTTTCCACTGATTTTTTTCTGCAATTACAATGGAAGTTTCCTTAGCATCCTCCGATTTAACAAATTTTTACAATGCACTTTTCATTAAAAGTAAGAATACGAAAAATTCTGAGGGCTAATAATAGTATTGCCCTAGAATTCTATTTGCTTGACTCGTATGAATGGTCATACTGTGTTTTTCCTTAGCACGGCAGAATAGACTCCCTGTATACTGAAAATCAAGACAACCCATCCTCATGGAATCACAAACAGGAATAAAGATTACACAAATCGGCAGTTTTTTGTAATCTTTGATCGGCTCATTCTAAAACTCCTTTCTCCGTTCCTTCTCTCGTTTCGTTTGTTCCCTATCGAACTCGTTATTCCCCGGTCCATTCTACATCGTAATCTTTGCAATCGGTGAAAATGCAATCTTTATTCCCGTTTGTGACACTGTAAAGGCCTAAAATACGGGAACCAATCAGAAATGGATTCACATTGTCTTGACTCTCAGTACACTGAAAAAAAATTCACGGCGTTTTTACCAAGGTCCGTTGGTATCTTTACCATCTCACTTTTTTTACCAATCATTGGTAATTTTACCAAGACAGACTGGTAAGCTTACATGAAAACCGGTATTTTTACTGTTTTTTTCTAGTAAGAATACCACTTTTATTGGTAATCAATTCCCGGTGACTTTTCCATTTTATCTCGGTGATTCTATCACAGTCGATAAAAAATATTGGCGTTTTTACCGGGGTCCAGTAAAATTACCGAGAAAGTTCAATAATTTTACCGATTCAATCGGATTTTTACTTGAATCAAGAACCAAGCCTCTTAATTTAACCGGATTTCGTTTTGATCTGAGCAAAAATCTGATTGAATCAAGAGTATTTTTTCTTGTCGATGTTTTTAAGAGTCTGGACTCTAGATCCAATGTGTTTTTCTTTTCCAGTGAGGCCTAAAATACGGGAACCAATCAGGAATGGATTCACATTGTCTTGACTCTCAGTATAGAGGGACTCTACGGCAGAATAAAACCAGGTGCTCGGCCTCTGGCACTGATTTATTCGTCGGGCGAGTCCTCGGCCACAGCCTCCACTCGAGTGCGTGCTCGGCCGAGATAAAATCCCATCGGTTCCGGCTCGGCGGCTCCGCGCGGAGATGCGAGGGCGAAGGCGCGACGCGAAAAATAATTAAGACTCGGGAGTAACAAGTCGCGGGCGGCGGGGGCGGGGGCGCTAATTCGGAGCCGAACAAGACTCGACTCGGCCCGATGTTTTCCTTGCCGTGCATTTAATCATAATAATCACTGCTCGAGCCCTAATGACTCGTAAGCCGCCCGAGTCCGGGGATAATAATCCTCTTTATTCGAATACATGCGCGGCCAACATAAATATTTTCCCACCGCCAACGCCGACGCACACCCCCTAATGTATGCACCGCCGGGCCACCCTCGCAGTTGCCAAACCCGCCAAAATTTCGAGAGATTCAGCAACAATTGGACGTATCTCTACTGCACGGAACCAGAGACAGGTGGGAAAGAGGTGTGCCCGTTCGTCGCGGGCCGTAAGAATGAATGGGAATTGTAAAGCGCCAGTGACGTCAGCGTGGACGTTCGCGGGACGAGGATGTAGGCACCGCCGCACAGTGGATCGAGTCAGTAGGAGATGTCGGACAAAATTTGGAAACTTTAAACGCTTAGAACTCCGTTTATACAAAACTTTGAGGTTCTAAAAGTAGTTCCATATTGGTATCCTCGTAAAATTTTCTTCCATCAGCATTCCTTCTTTAAAATGTGATAAAATAAACATCAAAATTTGCAGTTTTAGTCAATAATTTCATGTCTAACTTCTCTAATTGACTCGATCCACTGTGCGCAGTGAGCAACCATTAGACGTATTTCCGCTAAACGAAACCAGAGACAGGTGTGATTGAAGGGGTGTTTTCGTTCGTCAAGGGCCGTAAGAATGAATGGGAATCATAAAGCACCCGTGACGTCAGCATGGACGTTCGGAGTCTTTAACTCATGAACCCTGCCCTCAACGCTCTTTTGCCGTGTCTACGGCTCATGAGTGCCGCTTACAGTTGGCGCTTAGTTCCATTTGGTGGAACATAAAATCCCACTTTCTTATTTTCCCAAAAGGAATCACTCTCACTTTTAAATTGTTTC